AAATATTGGATGTATGAAGCATTAAAAATAAAAATATCACACCTATATTTGGAGTGCATATTACCCATGTATGACAAAGTCTACCCTAAAAATAATGACTAGAAAGAGCATTAATACATGCACCAAATGTGAAGTTAGGACCTTGAACCAAACTATGTTTATTAAGGTATCAGGTATTAAGGTTTTCTTTCTTGGTTGCCAATGCCTTTGTTTACTTACATCTGCTGTTCTGCTTAAGCAGCCTAAATAAGATACAAGCCAAAAACATTGCACAATAGTTGTTGGGTGCAATGACATTATTTACATGAAATGTAAAGCAAATCCAAGATCAGTCGGTTGAAGCCTCTGTTGTTGATCTGGACTTCAGAGACTTCATACTGTCTACTCTTCAGAAAACAAAACACAGACCTCAGACCTAACTTCTCACGTCCTCTCTGCATAATCACATCACCTGTGAAAAGGGATGAGCTGGTTTTATGTTAATGTATGTATCACCAGGTGGAAAAAAAACAGACCTGAAAAGAGAGTGTCTGCTGAGGACCTGCCAGGCTGCGAGTGTTTGTTGTGGACGTATGCGGCTGAAGTGGCGCAGTGTGCTGGGTGCTAGAGGGTGAATGAAGAGGAGGAAGCCCTTTGACTAATCTCTGGGGAAGATAATGATCTTACATGCAGCCTGAACACTGTGTGCTTCTGGAGGACTGGTAATATGTGCGCTCACTCACACAGAACTGCCTGCACCAGCCAGCCGCAACAAAGAAATCTTTATTGAACGCAAAATCCATGGACACTTGCTCCACAAATATGAACCCATTGCGACAGATTAATGTTGAGCATTACTGCTAGGGCCTATTTTACCAGATACACTGCACAAATAAACAACATAACCTTGTTACTGGGTGGGCTACTTAAAAGTCAATTTGGAAGTCATTACATAATCATATGCTTGTTGCTAACTGCAATGTTACATGGGCTAGAATTAGCAGTACACGGTAACCTTTTATTTTCATTCCTGCACTGCACATGCATGATCCAGTGAGCTGGGCTTTTTGCAAAAACTGCAACTTTGCCTGAGAGACCTGGCAGCTCTACAAAACCTCCATACAACCCTAAACCAGAAAGGATCTAATGCAAAGCTCCCAGAATGCCTGTTGAATGTACAGAGGAGGCCCATCACAAGTCATTTACAGTATGAGGGACTGTTCTGAGTAGTAGTCTCTATATCTATCCATCTCTACAGATTTTAGTCACACATTACTTTTAGGGATGATTCAATGAACATTAAAATTCAGACTATTTGACTGGTCTAAACGCAAGGAAACAATCAGAAAACAGACAAAACTGAGCACAATTTAATATGGATAGCAGTGCTAGCACAAGCCGCCTTCTTACCTTGCAAGTTTACATCCACACATCTGTACTAAATGTGTTTACACCTCCCTGGTTTACAACATCCGGGCAATAGCAGGGGGAGAAGGAGGGCAGTTGTACATTAATAAAATATTGATAATTACTTTAACCAAATGGTATTCCTCGTGCTGACTAGTGAGCATAGCGACATTTCACCGTTTAGTCAACTAATCGCACACATCTCCAGTTACTGTAATGTGTGCACTGAACAGCAATATCACAAAACAAACAAAAATATATATGAAACTAAGTCCATACAACAACAAATTCTGAAAATTAAAGAAAAAAACCCCCTCAATTTCTCAACTCCGTCAGTGTGTAATGTTGTCTGAACATAAACTGCCATATAACAACTTCATCATTAAACTTTCAGTTTCTTCTTTATGCCAGGAAACATCAGATAAACACATAACACAAGGCTAATAGTACGACCAAACGTTCATTACCAACTTTTAGTGCAGGCCAGTTTTCAGTCCTCGGAGGGGCCTGTTGGTAAGATTTAACCTTAAATACCTGGCCCTAAACAAAAGAGCAGATCTGGATAACACTATTTTATGAGCCTGTCATTTCCTCAAAGGTGTTCCAGAAGGAAGTATGCACTTGACACTTGTTACACAATAATCTTCAAATGAACTGCTGTGCATTGACTAAAAGATTGACATAAAGACTAAACAATTCATTGTATGGATGCAAATTAGGATTAATTTAATTAATCTTCTGATTATTTTCTTAATCCATGGTCTGATCTATAGAATGTAAAAAAAAAAAAAAAAAAAACAATTTCCAGGAGTCCAAGATGATGTAATAAAAAGTAACGTTTTGTCCAAACAACAAGATATTTAATTTAAAATAAGACAAGAAAAGGCATCAAATTGTCACATGTGAGAAGATGGAAACGTCAAATATTTTGCTTAAAAAACAAATTAATCCAACAATAACGGATATAATCATAAATACAATTGTTAATTCATTTTCGGAAAATAAATAAATTGGAAGTGGACCAGCCGAATACCATCTCCATATTCTACAAGCTGCATTTCGATATGGCAGAACTTTGCAAGGCATTTTCTTGCAGTTCCTGTGTAAAAACACTGCTGTTTAGTAAATTTACCACAAGTTTTCAGGGTCAGATTTTTGTTACCTGTATGTACACAGGTGTGCAGTGATGACTTTGCTTGTAATACTCCCAACAATCACTTCCAAATTACATGTCTTTCCAGGACACTTCAGGGGCAATTATTTGGGGAAAAAAAACCAACATTAGGAAATTAAGGATGATAATTTGTAGCGGACATGTGTGAGATCTTCACATTAGCTGCCCAGCACCTACCCAGAAAGCACTTCTCTACATTTTCATATTATTATTCCATGCATCTTCGCAGAAATAACAGCTTTAACTGGAGGGACCATTGAGCCAAACAGCCATACTGCAGGACACTACCTGCTGTGAAAGCAACACACACACAAACTGGCTCATTAAGAGACAAGAGTGAGTGCCCATGTGCTGATGGGTCATGGAGTCACTTTAAAGCAAAAAAAACCACAACAGCAGAGCGGATACAATTATTAGAATATGGAACTACACATCATGGGTCAATTTAACACAAATACAGTAACACTTAAAGATAATAAAGATGACTGAAGGCTAATGACTACATAAGAAGTATTAGCTGGACATTGAAATTAATAATAAAAACAACAGAGGTTGAGTTGTCATAAACAGAGAGAGCCATGTATTACATATTCAGTAGACTTTCAATGAGGAAATGGAAAAAACACTGAGCCACTGACTGAATAATCAATATCTGATATTTCATAAAAGCCCAATATCATACCAATCTGCCACCCAACACCAACAAGATTTGCTTTTGTAAGCAGTGTACTGTAAAAATCTGTCTGCTGTAGATATGAGAGTTTCAGGCTAATAGCAGCACACTAACCAGTGCACAAACTGAAACATGTACGTACAATTCACAAATACAGAAAACAAAATTTAAACAATTTCATATTGTACCATTATCTAATAAAATTGGACAAAACCCGACTGTTCAGACATTAAGCACAGAATTATGCAGCATACTTAGCAGAGTAGTGTTTAATCAGGATGACCTAAATAGCCTACAGACTCCTATGTGACCTTACACAGCGATAAGCCTGTCACACAGTCTCACCGTCAATTCAGCCATCTCTGCCGCCACAAAACCAGACTCACAGAAGGTACACAAAGTCCTCACACGGTTATTAATGCTTACAGACAACAAACGCTGGTCGCAAGCACTGAAAACACGACGTGACAGATCGACACCCACAGCTAAAAAGTACACTTGTTCTTATCGCAGGGTCGATGAAACTGGAAAATATGGTGGAGGCAGTCTAGCTGGCAGCTAGCAGTCTCTACCGGCGTTTCGGTTCTCTCCACAATGGTGGTGACATTTAGAAACCCGGTGTTAGCAGATGAGTTAATTTTAATTGTATCGCGCATAAAAACTTAACATTACTACTAGAAATTAATATTTTATTTTGCTGATATTCTACAGTTCCCGTCCAGCAGTAAGTGGCACATTAAAAATGAGAAGTCTCACTGATTCTGCAATTGCTACATTGGTAGCAAGTTAGTGTTAGCTAGCTAACTTAGTTCAGCTTTTTCAGGAATTAGGACTGAGTTAAGTGTTTCACTCGCCGGTGTTTCCTAGTAGCTAATGATACACAGTAACAAGACGGGTAGTTATTTTCAGTAAACTAAACACTTAACTGCTAGTATACAGGAGCATTTGCACCGGCTAACATATAACTACATGTAGTACGCAGGGCTAAGCTAACAAAACTTAGCAATCAAAGTTAGCTAGCACAGCTAACGCTATCAGTTGCATATGAAGTGATATGGCGGAGGCGATAATGAAATTAAACCACCCCGCTGACAAAGCTAGGCGACCAGCTTTAGCTAGCTACCGCAGACGTCGCTACAATTAGTTCGATGCTGACCTCTCAACAGCTAGCAGCTAATGCTAAGTCGCATTGTGTTCACTTCCAGGACGTTACCATATGTGCAGACTCCAAGTCAGAAAATGTGACAATTTACGGTTGCTTCGCTCACTTGCAACTACAAATACAATTCTGCAAACTCTGTTATCAACCAGGCTGCGTTTATTTTAAATTAAATGACAACTTTCAGGACAGCTTCACGCTGCTCGCCAGCCAACACTCTGTGGGATATTTTGGTAGAGGAAACTAGACTGGATTTCACGCCAGTCCTTTTTAAAAGTTCATATTTTCTGAAAAGAAACACTAGTTGGTGTGTTATATCCATGCCGAATGCAGGGGCTGTTTCAGCGAATTACAACTGAGTTGAAACCAAGTAATAATGTTTGAGTTATTTACATTTGCCCATTGGTTAAAGTCACAATACATTGTTGGATGTTTTAATAGATTTGACGTTGTTCCATGCAAGAGTGGACGCACGTACGGACATTAGGAAAGAGTTAGCATTAGTTAGCGGCTAACGGAACAGACAGCTAGCGGCTAGCTAGCCACCTTGTGTCGAAACGAACAATCACGTTGAGGGGGGTGTCTTAAAAATGTAAAACATTCCTTACCTCCCACTCGGTACATGTTAGCCGCCATTCTCTCGTAACCTTTATCAAAAACAGTCCCAGGGTATTCCCCGCTTGGGTAGAAAAAGGTCGATTGTGATCTATTTTATTCCTTCATTTATCGTAGACACCCCCGCCGTGAAACAAAGCCGGCTCCGGGCACAACAAGCCGAGATGTGGCGGGTAAAAAGTTGAAAGTTTCCGTTAGTAATTTTCCGGAGGTTATCCCCCAAAAATTGAAGTCTTTGTTTTCGGTCCCTCAGACGACCTTCCTCTCCTCTTCCTCACTCACTCACACATTCACACACAGCTAGCCTGTCTCTTACTCCACTCTTCCTCCCATCCTCCGCTCCCAGCTTCATCCTCCTCTTCTTCACCTCCGCTCAGTTCAACACACACACTCGCATACAGAAAACACACACTCACTGGCCCCCTTCGTTCGTGTGCAAATCGTCATCTTCGGATGTTGTCGACAATCTCCGGCATCTTACAATTAACTTTTTCACTGGCCTCGGTTTAATAAACAACCTGTAATTTGAAACACAACCTCACACACAGATACACACACGACAAAGTGTGTATAACTTTATATATTTTATATTGGACAAAATAAAGTTTACATACAAATAGCCTACATAGAACATACACGCACAGAAAGTAAAAGAGAAGTCATTGCCAGTTTAAGACAAAAGAGGAAAGTGGGAATGGACACGCACACGTTGGCACGCGCAAGCGTACACACACCTTCAAAATAAAACCCTGGGGGAAACTCTGTATTATCAAAAGAGTTATGTAATGTAATATCACCTGTTTTATAGTGACCAAGCTGCACGTGGACCTTCACATGGTTACTACTAAGACCCAATTTAAGATAGTCATTACTTGGCTTACCATTTTCTTTTTTCTTTTTTTAAGCTTGAGATCCCTTAAAATGAAACAATGTCCATTTGTGGTCTGAAGTCACTAGTGTGTATATATGTATGTATATATATATATATATATATATATGCCTGTGACCTAGCATTTCAGCCCAAGAGTGAGTACTGCCTCTAAAAATTTAGAGGTAATTACAGGACAGCCCCCCCCCCCCCAAAAAAAAAAAAAAAAAAAATTAATTAATTAATTAAATAAAATAAAAAATAGAAAATAAAAATAAAAAAACTGAAATGTTGGAAATGACAAAAATAAATATACTTGACAGTTAAAATGACAGTAAGTCAGGGTTATGTATTTTTAAATTAAAATTATCAGCTACTGAGACAAAATTACATAAAGTATGATTTTGACTTGTGAGCATTTCATCCCAAGAGTGATTACTGCCTCTCTGATTGTTTAAGTATGGTTTAGAATAAAGAAAAAGAAAGAAAAAGAAAAAATGTTTTTTTGCTTTTTTGCTTCATTCCTTTTTCATCCTCCTTATGTCATGTCATGTCATGTCATTTCATGTCATGTCATGTCATGTTTTGTCATGTCATGTCATGTTGTGTCATGTCATGTCATGTTATGTCATGTTGTTATGTTATGTCATGTTATGTCATGTTATGTTTTGTCATGTCGTTATGTGATGTCATGTTTTGTCATGTTATGTTATGTCATGTTGTTTTGTTATGTCATGTTATGTCATGTCATGTCATGTCATGTCATGTCATGTCATGTTATGTTATGTTATGTTATGTTATGTTATGTTATCTTATGTTATGTTATGTTATGTTATGTTATGTTATGTTATGTTATGTTATGTTATATCGCTCCCATTGTCTTTGTCTTGCCTCACCAAAAAAAGAAAAAAAATTAAATAGATGAAATGTTGGAAATGACAAAAATAGATATACTCCTGTTAAGTAAAAATACATTAAGTAAATATGATAGTAAGTCAGAGTTATGCCTTTTTAAATTAACATTATCAGATATTGAGACAAAATTATATATAATAGTAAACATAGTTTTGACCTCCAATCATGATTTTACTAAGAAGAAGTTTTTTAGTTATTAACAAATTTTTACTTTTACTATCTCAATGTTATAAATGAATATCTCACATTTTTGACTTAAAAAAAAAAAGACCTACTATCTCATTAGTAAGTTTAGGACAATGTTTAAAAATACTGAAACAAACAAATAGAAAAATGAACAGTATGATCAAATTGACATATTGGCACCAGGGATAGTGTAAGATTTTGTCTGATGTAATTTCTTGACATCACTAGGGATGTTGTAAAAATGGTAGGTGCAATAAGATGCAGCTTCAGCCCCAGACTTTGTTGATCTGTAGTAAATCTTTACACAATTTTCATATTCATTCTAATTTTCAAAACAGAGGAACACTTTGCAAATCTAGCAGGTATGTAGGACCAGGATGAGTGGATCATTTATTGTATCATTTATCATTTAGTAGTAAATACATTTATTTTTCCTGATGATGATGTAGCACCAAAATATTGCAAATAAATTGTTTATTGCAAATTAGACAGTGTGCAGGAATTTTCAATCACTATTTTCTACTTTGGACATATTTTTACATACAAATTTACCTACAAAATCAATCTCATGATTTTAATTCAGTATCAAGTATCAATCACAGTTACACTTTCTCTTAATTTTGATTTACCATGAGTATTTTCATCATCCCTAAGATTAATCAGTTTTTTTCTTTTCCTGGCAGAATTGAGCTTCCATACAGAACATATAAGAAATACACAACAAAAATAAATTTTAAAAAATTGTGTTACATAAGTCTTGTTTCGTTTCCTTTCCCAACCTGTTAGATTATAAAATACAATGCATTGTTGTATATGAAACTAAAATTAGCCCCACCTCAACCACCTGCACCATTGAAATTATTATTAAATGTTGATGTATCAGCAAAGTTGAAGATTTTTACAGGACGTGGACACCTTCTTTACATTTCATGAATGACCTGACTGTGCAGACACCTGTGATTGGATAGGGACTGGTGCTACCACCGCCATCCCATGATAACTTGTAGTTTGCACTGTAGCTAGGGGATCATAGCTGTTAACAAGGAGAGAGAATAGGATGATAACCGAATAATATACTTCAGTTTTTTTTATTGATCTTTAATTAATTAGAATGCTCCTATGGATTCTGACTTAGGCATATTACCTTGTATGTAATTCATTTATCTGTTATTTTATTTACTTATTTGTTTTTTTATTGTTTATATATATTTACTTGTGCATATTACTCAACTTACTTTGATTCTTGTCTATAGTCACTTTAACCTATATGCATAACTCAATATTTAAAGTTATGCTTATTAAGTTTTATTTTTAATTTTACCGACACTGTTTAATGTTTGAATGTTCTGTTCTGTCTACTCAGTAAATTTAAATGAACAAAAGCCAATAACAAAGTATTGAAAAAAAATGTTAATGTATCAATAATCCAATTGTATATTAAATATACTGTAAAAGTGCCCATTCTGCATTATTCTACTTTTATTTTTCACACTTTACATCTATTTAATTTATTATAGTTTTAGGTAAAACTGTTTAATTGCTGACTTTGCTTTTAACATAGTATTTTTCCATTGTAGTACTGATGCTCATTAAAGGATCTGAGTAAATCTTTTATCAGTGTTGAGGGGTCCTAGCTCTCAAGTTGGACACAACTGACTTATCTTCTCTAATGAAAAGACATGTGTCAGCAGAGTTTGTTCTGAAGTTTCATTAACTGAACTGAACTGAAGAGTCAGATCCTCCTGTACTGGTGGGGTTCAGTGCGAGGGTTTCTGGTCTGGGTTAGGGTAAATTCTCAACACGCAGCACATCACACAGTTGCTGGAGCAGCGCTGCCCACTAGTGACACATCACACACATTACACTTTCCAGTCTTTAGTAATTTATTGGGAGCTTGACAGATACATCATCACAGTATTCTCACTGTTGTTTTAAATATATATAAAACTGTACTAAAGTAATCATGTTCAAGTGTACTTACAGCTGTTAGAGAAATTAATCATCCAGAGAAGCTGAGAGTTGATTTCATGATAAGAGGTTTGTCACAGTCTGTCTAATGCAAGCATAAAAACAGGTTCAATATTAGCTGAGATGTCAAACAAACACTGATTAAAATACTAAAAACAATATGCAAACATCTTTAAAGGCACGATGGCGAATGGCACCGCGATGCAGCACTCTGCTAAAGTTTGGTAAGAAAGATAAAAACACAGGAATGTTCACTGAAACCAACGTCACCACAGAAGTCAGGTCATGTTCTGTACCAGCAAACACACACGACCACAAATCATCCTCATCACATATCCAAGAGTGACTAATAATCTGTGCTATGGAGAGCCCTGCACTGTCCAGTTTCACAAGGATTTACAGGATTAAGTGTAAAATGAATATGGGTCTTCCTCCTGAAGAGGATTCCTCTACATGTTCTGTCTGAAACCGACACAGCGGCTTCTCCACAGAGGCCAAACTGAGCCGACACACTCACTAACACGCCTCTGTCTCTGTGTAAACAGTCTCCTCTCTGTCGCTCTGACTAACACCACACCTTCCTAGCTGGTGGCAGGTTCTGGAGAGCTGGTGGAGGTGGATGAGGCCGAGGCCAGTCTCTCCCTGCTGTCGGGCGCCCCGCCTCCGATCACCTTCCACTGTAGGATGCAGGTGTCCTTTCCGCCCATGGAGAGCAGGTGGGAGTCGCTGTGGGTGAAGCAGACATTGGTGACGTGGCTGCCGTGGCCCTCATACTTGTGGCTTGGTGCCTGGAGAGAAAAGGAGGAGAGAAGAGATACTTTGGATCAGCACGTTGTAAATCCTATTACCTCCCCCCTCCCCCTCCCCTACTTTTGATCAGACCTGCAGTTCTGCCAGAAAATTTTAAAAGCTTCACCCCCACCTGCTGTGGACAAACATCATTTTATGGTGGTGTGAAGAAAATCCAAAAACAACCAAACAAATCCACAACAGAGCTGCAGTCTGGACAGAGTGATTGTTCAGGTCAGCTGTTAGCTACACTGAGAGTCGTTGGAAATCATCTCACAAACAGCAAGGAAAATACAAATCAAACTTTAAACTGGTGTTAGTAAAGGAAGGAGGTCCAGATCTGAAGTTTCTACAATGTAAATGCTGACACATTACATTACAGACATTTACATTTACATTTACTCATCTGTTAGACGCTTTTATCCAAACAGACTTATAAGTGAGTGACATCACTAAAGCTTCAGTGCAGTAGAGACTTTGGTGTAAGAACTAAGTCCTACTTCTATTTAATAAGTAAATGAGACCAGGTAAAGAAGTGCAGTGAAAGTTCACCTGAGGACTTGAGAGCAGCTGGAAGTGTTGAAAATTTTAAACGTAAACTCAAAATGTTCCTCTTCAGCCTGGCTGTTAATTAAATATGGTTTTACTCATTAGTCACTTTATTTTATGCACATATTATTATAATTATTCTATTTTATTTGTTCTTTTATTATTACTTTTCTTATATGTTTTTGTTTTGTTTGCTAATGTTATTATAGCTTTCTAAATCTATTTTATTGTATCTCATTGTTGCTTTCTCACTCGATTCGTCCTTTTCTTTTCAGCTCATCAGTCTGTGAAACACTTTGAACCGGACTAACCTGTATAAACAGATACAGTTTGATTGATTGATTCAAAGTTCATTGTAAGTGCTAGTTAGACATGTGAGGGTGTTAGTGGTGTCAGAAGAGAAGGTGCTCTCTGAAGAGATTCTTGAAGCTAGAGAGGGAGGCTCCTGCTCTGATAGACTTTGGTAGCTTGTTCCACCATCAGGGAACCACAGACCAGAACAGTCTGGACTGACACTGTCTTGTGCAGGATGATGATGTCAGACCACATTCCTTGAGAGGAAATCAGTGGAGGAGAAGGAGCATCCAGCTGAATGATTGAGTTCAAGTAGATGGAGCAGGACCAGAAGTCTCTCTGAAGGCAGCATTAGAGACTGAATGTGATTCAGGCGGTCATGAGTAGACAGACTGGCTGCTGCATCCTGAACCATCTGTAAGGGTTTCAGTGTGTGTGGAGGGAGTTCCACCAGAGGGTGAGAGATAACCACGGTCTGGGCCAAGAGCTGGGTGGAGAACTGAATCAGGTAAGACCTGATTTTTCTGATGTTGTATAGAACATATAGAACTGAAGTTTACTTTTAAGATGATTCCTAACTTCACCTCATGATTTCCTCTCTACTGAAAATCATTCAAGGTTTTCAAACACCACAGACACCACAGTGATGAAATCAGAGCATCAGTGAAATCCAGAAGGCACCTGTGTTTTCATATTTAAGATCTTCAACAATGACACCTGATCACAGGGTTTGTTGGTGAAAGTTCCTCATACCTGGTTTCCAGTAGCATGTTAATTAATCCTGACAGACTGAAAGTGAAAACAAACTAAAGTGATACAGATTATTCCAAAGGGCTGACTCACTTTATCTTTCCATCATATAAGATGAAAGAGTCATATAAGGTTGATGTGCAGTGCTTCACTGACCTCCGTATCACTTGTAAAGTGACAAAACGGGCTGGCTAGACCAGGAGCTAGCTGGTTAGCATGCTAACTTCAGTAGTAGAAAAGACATGATGGAAATAGAAGCAAAAAACAAGAGGGTTGCTTTCCACCTCTGGAGACAGCTGTTGGTGAGTAAAGGAATGAAGTTTGATGCTGAACTCACAACATTTCTTCTATACTGGTCAGTAAACAACTGTTTATGCTAACATTAGCTATGTAGCAATAGCAAATCAAATACAAATACCTCCTTTAAAGCAGCAACCAGTGAATGGTTTCTGAGGACAGACAGGTTCGTCTAAATCTAACTAACATATCGCCTGTGTTTTTAATCCAGTTATGTTTCAACATGTCGGTCAGATACAGGTTTTTACTTACTAATGTCACAGCAGCAGTGTAAGAACAAGATTTGCTGAGCATGCAAAGACAGGATCACGTATAAAAGAAAAGAGCTTTACCTTGAGTTTAGGACAGGGGTACTGGAAGAGGTGGACCTTACAGAAGTCATCAGCCACAGCCACGACCCTCTCACTGTGAGAGCGACACAGGGCGTTGATGTCTGTGCCGTCAGAGCCCTCCAACCACACACCTGGGACACCACAGCAACACAGTCACCATCATGATGTGAAAATAACATACACAACTCAGAAAAGCTGCACTCTGTTTTCCTCACCCATGACGTGGAAGCCCAGCACACAGGTGTATGAGGCCCACTCTCTGTCTTTGCTATCAAAGCGGTTCCTCAGCAGTTTACAGCCTGACGCAATGTCCCCTGAGGAAACACAGCCACAGTCAGAGCAGTAAATCGCCAACACTGTCTGAGGATTCAACTGCAACAAGCTGCATGTTCACTCACAGTAAAGGATCTCATAGTCTCCAGAATTAGACATGATGTACTTCCCGTCTTTGGACCAATCCAGGTGAGTTATGAAGCTGGAGTGACCCTGATTGGACAGATAAACAGATGCGAGTCACATGATGCTCTATGACACAAATGAAGGCTGGTGTCATTCTATATTTTCTTTATTGTCAGCAAATTCCATCAACAGATACAAACCAAAAGTGTGTTAGTCCGTCTCCCTATAGGTTATGATCCCTGCCCTGGTCCCTTCCATCATCCCTACCCTGGTCCCTACACTGGTCCCCTCCATTGTCCCTACCATCGTCCCTAGCTTCGTACCTACCATCGTCCCTACCTTCATCCCTTCCATTGTCCCTACCATCGTCCCTTTCATCATCCCTGCCATCGTTCCTACCATTGTCCCTACCATCGTCCCTACCATTGTTCCTACCATCATCCCTACCATCATCCTTACTATTGTTCCTGCCATCGTCCTTACCATCATCCCTACCATCATCCCTACTATTGTTTCTACCATCGTCCCTACCATCATCCCTACTATTGTTCCTACCATCGTCACTACCATCGTCCCTACTATTGTTCCTACCATTGTCCCTACCATCATCCCTACTAGTGTCCCTACCATCGTCCCTACGATCATCCCTACTATCATCCCTACCATCATCCCTACTATTGTCCCTACCATCGTCCCTACCGTCATCTCTACTATTGTTCCTACCATCGTCCCTACCATCGTCCCTACTATTGTTCCTACCATTGTCCCTTCCATCATCCCTACTATTGTTCCTACCATCGCCCCTACTATTGTTCCTACCATTGCCCCTACCATTGTCCCTACCATTATCCCTACTATTGTTCCTGCCATCATCCCTTCCATCGTCCCTACCTCTTTGTCCCTACCATGGTCCTTACCATGGTTCCTACCATGTCTGTGGCTCTCAGTTCATTAGTTCCTGCTAGAGTTCTGGTTTGGTCCTGTTTCTAGCTTGAAGCTTTAAGGTTAGGATGGCTCAGTATTTGATATTTTCTATCCACAGAATAAATGCAACACTCTTGTCTTTGTACCTCTGATTACCAGTTGATTGATCCCTCTACAGAACACAGATGAAGGGCCTCCCACCTACATTCATTGGGTTCTGATGCATTATTTTTCAGTTGGAGAATGGAGATTTGCACACACTTTGTATTGTTTGGATATGGATGTTGCTGAAACTGGCATCAACTAGCATCCTGACAATGTGTTGGCGGGTAGGAGAGTGGAGGGTGGTGAGGTTTTGTTGTTATTGGACTGTTAAATGACATTTATGTTTTGTCTGCTCTAAAATACAATTCAGTGAGAATTTTTTCTCTTTCTGACCTTCCCAAACAACTGCGTGTCATGTGTAGGGGGTAGATATGCAAATGGTTAGTGGGAAGAAGTTGCATCAGGCCTGGGTCTTGGTTTGGGTTCAGGCCTCAAATTTGGCAGTTGCAGTTGCGTTCAGCTGGGTCGGATTTTAAGGACACAGGTACTTTACTAAAAACATTTAACAAATATATATATATATATTCATAAAAAAAAAAGGTTCACTAATTTCTGCTGTAGTTTTTATCAAATGTTTCTCAAACAGGGAAAATAGTGCATTTGTTAGGGACTATTTTCAGTGGCGAATTAATCCACATTTGGTGCTCTACTGAGTATTTGGGGCAACAGTACAGTGTGTGTGTGTTCATTGTAATGAAGGCATCAGTCACGGTAACAGTGTGACTCACAGATGTGTTTTAATAGTTTGTGGTCAAAAATGGAGGAATCAGATATATCAAAGCTTGGAATTTACACCGATCAGCCACAACAATAAAACTGCTGTAATGTTGTGGCTGACATTCGTTGTTGGCTTGACTTTGGGATTTGTTCACTATATGAAAAATATAGAACATCACCAGACTTATCCTGTAAACCTGGTGTGTCTTTACTTTGTTCATGAAGAACTCAGTAGTTAGCATTAGCAGCTAGAGCCACCATGGCCGAGAAGACAGAGAACAAAACACCCTGACAGGAAGTTGAACTGGATCATGAGAAAATCTCTTTTAAAAAAGGTTGTTTCTTGATATTTGACTCACGTTACACTTCCCGAAGCGGGTGTAGCGCCGGCCGCTTTCTGTCACATTGTAGATGTAGATGAAGTTGTCATGTGATCCAACAGCTAAGAAACTGCCATCTGAAAACACAAGAGCCCATTCACACAGTTAAAGGGGGTTTCCACTTTCTCTCAGGGTCCATGCCTTTTTAGTTCAGGCAGATGTTTTGGCTTCTGTTAGACTCAGGCCTGGTCTGAAAGTCTGGATATGGTTCAGTTCAGTTTCTGATGTTGAATAGAGCAAAGAGTCACAACAAGAAGACAGATGAAGTTCACTTTCAAGATGATTCCAAACTTCAGCTCCTGATTTCCTCTCTACTGAAAATCACTCAAGGTTTTTAAACACCACAGACACAATTCACCACAGTGATGAACTCATATCATCAGTGAAATCCAGAAGGCACCTGTGTTTTCATATTTAAGATCTTCAACCATTACACCTGATCACAGGGTTTGTTGGTGAAAGTTCATCATACCTGGTCCATGCTTTTTTAGCTCAGGCTGATGTTTTGGCCTCTGTCAGACTCAGGCCTGGTCTGAAAGTCTGGATTCTGGATAAGGTTCAGTCAGTGTTCTCTTCATTTATGGATATAACCCCCTGATGTGTTTATTTTTTAATTATCATTATTATTGTTCAAATATCTTTTCAAAGTGTATCTGTATATAATAGGGATGCTCCATTCACGATATTTTGCTGCCGATACCGATCATCTATGAGTGAGATCAGCCAATGCCGATCATTTATGTCATGCAGATGGTGTACATTATATCAGTCTCACACACACGAGTTCCACATGGCTGACATGTTGTTTTGTTTTGGTGGCCTGTCGCACACTGTTGCCTTGGGAGGCAGGACTACAGCCGCAGACACCAGTATTAACCACATATTTATTTATTTTTTTTATTTTTAAGTGCAGTGGAGACTAGATGAACCTTTTTGGAGTATTAACCACAGGTAATCAGTTTTAAGGTGATCAGTGACCAGTATTAATGCCGATCTACCGTTCACGTATTTTTTATGAAGATAGGCGATAATATATATATATATATATATATTGCATGTGGTGGAAATGTCATAGTTTTGAATATTATCAAATAGCAGCCCAAGTCTAACTGTCAACTATCAAAAATAAAGACTAGTAATAGTCTTAGATAGTAAAAAAGAAAACACACAGTTTACACTGATCAACCAGTTACCTGTTTAGTGTTGTGGCTGTTCAGTGTATACAGGTCCACTGTTTCCATAGCCACTAATATATCCTAATTATCTGAGTATTTTGTGTGAAGAAGCTCATCAACAGCAAACCACAGAACATTATTAACACAGCCTCAAACCACACACTGACATCACAGACTGTCCTGCATCACCTGGAGAGTATCTCATGACAGACAGCTGCTCGTTCCCGTCAGTGGACTCAGAGACCACCTCTCTGGTCAGCAAGTCGAGGACCATCCACCTGTTAGTGGGACAGGGGAAGGAGGTGGTTCAACACAGTGCTCAGTGAGTGTTTATACAGTATTTCATATTATTTGAATAATTAAACATTTTGGCAAATGTTGTGATTTGCTTTTTCTTCTGAGAGTGAGAAATTAATATCTTCCTTGAGTTTCATTGATTGTAAAACAGCGCAGTGGAGGCAACTGGAAATAATTAGTGAATGAAAGCAATGTTTGTTTTCTGAGTCTTGGGTTCAGAACTGCTCCAGTCTTTATGCTAAGCTAGGTTAGCAATGTCCAGGCACCAATTCTCTACTTGACACACAGACATGAGATCAATATCCATCTGAACCTCTCACTCTTAGATGGACAGTGTATTTTCCAAAATGTAGGAGCTATTCCTTTAAAATCATCTTATCTAGTTATGTTCAACTCATAGATCTACTACTTTAGGTCTATTATTGGGGGGACTTTGTGTTGCATCACCTTCCTGTGTTGAGGCCAACTGACACCACTGATCCATTGGGGCAGAAACCAGCACACAGTCCATAGTCCTGCAAGAGACACACAGAGCTGGTCATGATGTGCGTGTCAGTGTTGGGAGGGGCATCAAGTTGGGAACTTGAAACATTGTATTCATTGTGAATAAAGTGAGCGTGTAAAAGGAAAACATGAGTGTGTCGTTACCTCCAGGCTGATGCTCCAGTCCACTGTGTGCTCCTCTGTGTTCCACAGACACACCTGTCTGTCGTGACCACAGGTGAGGAAGATGTTCTGAGAGGGGTGTGTGGCCAGCCCCCACATCTCATCAACGTGACCCTGAGATACACACACACACACACACACACACACACAGTGAAAGAACAAGATCAGTAATGTCACAGTGAACTGAAAAATCCGATCCATTAGATTATTAGATGTTTTATTAATTTGTTTAGAAATGTGACCGACCCGATGACTTGATATTTTGATACTATAATTCCTCCTAAATTGGACCTACGTTACGTTAACGTGCGCCACAGATGTATACTATTGTGTGCGCCGCGGATGTGCACAACCAACATGGCGGAGACTGAGCGGTTGGCTTCATTCTTTAGCCCTGGAGGTTGATGATTGGTTTTGTCTCTCCCTGCAGTCAATTCAAACTGAACCAAGTAAACCAAATAAAAAAAAAACTAATGACCAGATTCCCATTAAATTAGCTGAATTAAATTATACATTCAAATCTTAATCTTCTATTCCATGAGTGTGCTCAAACTCCTCGGAGAATGAACAATTCTGGATTCAACACACTCAGGCTAAAATATCAATATTGCACCAGCGATATCTAATCATCTAGAGTGCAGATTGTCCTGGAGTTTACTGCAGACTCCACAGAGGATGAACCCTTTTCATTTTTATGAACCCATGATCGTTCCTCCTGCACCAATCTTCACAGTTTAAGCTCCACAGCTGGTAAGATCACGGTGGCCTCTGTGCTCCACCAGCAAGGCCTTAGATTTTTGTTGTTTTTCAGTTTCCCATAGATCAAAATCAGATCTGAGCAGGAGGCCAGATTCCAGTGGTCAATGGAGACATCGCTGAGATTCGGGTGCCAACTGTTGACCACAGTCTGCTGGATCTACAGAGACCAAACAAATCTGGATACAAGATGGTGAGGGGCCAGATGAACCTGTTAGGGGGGGCATGGGACTAAAACCCAGCACTTGTATTTATGTGTATTTACAATCAGTAATCATCTCTCTATGGAGGAGCAGTCTTTATTGTTAGTGTTGGAGTCCTGCACTGGATTCAAGTTTCCTTCACATGCACGAGTAATTATCAGGAAACATTCATGCATTTAATCCAGTGTTGCTGTTTGCAACCTGATCTCATTGATATCAGCCTCACTGTGCCGCTGTGGCACAGCTGGAGTGAGTTACTGCTAAAGCGATTAACACTTCCTACTGCTGCTGCTTCACATTAAAAGCATTCGACCGGTGGTGGCGTTTATTGTGCAGGAGTCACAGGAAACACACTGAGGTCACAGTGGATCAGTTTTAAATATGAGCGGAGTAACTGAACAGGAAGCCGTTCAAACATCCAAATGACAATGCTAACCTGCAGCTACATCATTAGCATACCTGCACTATGGCCACAAATCCATCTGAGAAGGTTCCTCTGAGAATCGCGTTTCGGGTCGTACCAACTAACAGTTCCTCCCCATCCACATCAGCGATGGTACGGACTGCCCCGAACTTTTCTGGAATCTGGAGAAATTATCAGATTAATCGATTAGACTTTTTAGATCAATACAACTTTCCTCACAGACGTCTCAACCCACCAGCATCTCAAACACACACACACACACACACACAAACACAGCTGTGGTTCACCTCACACTCTCTCTCAGGTGCCAGGTCGGCGCTCCAGCGGATGATCTTGCGGTCTTTCCCACCTCCGCTGAGCAGAGCGCCGCCCTGCAGAGTGCACAGGGTGAACACGCTGCCTTCATGGGCTCTGGTCTGACGCATTATCTGGAAGGTCTCTGTGGGAAATGAAAGCCAGAGTCAGCTGGTTTATCAGACAGCCAGTTTTTCATATGTCACAAACCTAAGTAACCAATCCTGTCAACTTGTGGAGACGGGGGGCGGGGCTGAATAAACCTGAAACCTTGTCAGTACAGAGAGAGAGAGAGAGAGTTAGCATTAGCACAACCGCTAACACTGTGTCAACCACAAGCTTACAAACAGCATAAACAAATAAAAGATGCTAACTACGCTAACCGTTCTGATACATCTGCTAGTCTCTGATTCTGGTCTCTACTCTCTGCTCTTTCACCTGTCCACCTGGAGCAAGCAGGTGGTGGGCGGGGCACAAGGCCTGACCCAGATTTCTAAATCAGGAAGTAAGAGGAGAGGTTTTTTTTCTACTTTTTATGTGTGAAAACCTTGTTAATCAAAATGAATCATAGCAGAGGATTTTTTTTTACAGTTTAAAACATGTCTAAAGAGGAACTTTAAAATCTTTTAAATACATTTTTTCCCTCATCAATGTACTTTCAATTTCCTATAATGTCAAAACAGAATTTTAGTAATTTTTGCTAATTCATTAAACATCCAATATCGAACTATTCCTGTTACTTTTTAATCAAAAATCTGTCCACGTTGGGGCGCTCCAGTGGCTCAGCCGGTAGGGCATGTACCCTGTGCTAAGGCTGAGTCCTAACCACAGCAGCCCGGGTTCAGTCTGTGGCCCTTTAGTGCGTGTCACTCTCACTCTCTTTCCTGTCTATCTCTACTATTACTATATAAATAAAGCAGAAATGCCAAAAAAAATACGTCCGTGTTATTGGTTTTTATTATTTATATAATAGTGTCATTATTTCATTCAGGGTTCTAACATCAGTTCTTCAACTTTCAGCTTCAAACGTGACCTTTTCCTCTAGTGCTGTTATCACATTATTGCAGCACTGACCTTTGGCTCCTTTCCCCAGCGTTTTGATGTCTGCAGCTGATTTCCCCCATGTCAGGATGTTTCCCTCAGAGTCTCCAGTCAAAACGTCTCCAGTCAGACTGAACACGAAGCACTGGATGAACTTGGGCTTCTTGTATTTCTGAAACAGAAACAGGTGATGGTGTTCATAACATTACCCTGGTATAGATCATGCGCTTGCTTAATGTTATACTTTTATGTTCTCTAGGTTTCTATTTTGACCTTTTTACGCTTCACTTCCTCTTCCTGTCTGTCCACTCCTTGAATGAACCATGAACTTGCAAAAAACTGAATATTTGAATTTGATTGTCTCACTTTTTGTTTGGAAACAACAAAAAAAACAGACCACGTGATTTTGTTTTTGGTTTAGAATTCAAAATCAAATAAAATCATATGAATTCGGTTTTTGGTTTCAAACAAAATAATGATAAAAGGAACCAAAACCAAAAACAGACCATTTTGATGTTTTTTAGTTTTTTGATTCTGACGCCTAAAATGTTTTTTCTGCTTTGGTTTTAAAACAAATGCACAGATTTACAGTTTTTTCACTTTTAAATTGGAAATGAATTACAGATTATCCGATGATACCCAGATCAATATCATCATTATCAAACATTATTTATTTTCTCTAGGATACATTGAGGAGGTGACCCTCATTATCAATGATGCAGAGATTCAATAAACAGAAAGAATACCAACCAAGCAATTAGAAATACAAAAATCAATTCCTATGTTTTAAAAGATTTAAAAGTATATTTCTAAACCATTTCATTGTAGGTTATTCCATGAGTCTGGAGTACAAATTCTAAAAACAGTCTTTCCATGTTAGGAGTTGACCAGAGGAACATGCAGAGTGATCCGGTCCTGAGAACAGGTTTTATATTCACATGCACTGAGGTCTGTTAGTGATCTGAGGTAAGTGTGCTTGGTAAATAAATATATACCAATGTTGATCTCGCCTCACAGAGAGAGAGGACCGGCCAACCTTTTCATACGGAGTGTAATGATGAGTATATGTAGATATCCCCAGTAATAAATCTAAGAGCAGAGTGATATACAGCATCTAAGGGTTTAAGGGTGGTAACAGCATAGACATGTATGCATAGACACTGCATTTGTCGCTTCAGCCCATTGCTGTGATACGAAAGGAATAAACAGAAGATCAGCAGTTTTTTTTGGATACAAATCACTAGAACGTTTAAATTTCTCAACCGATTTCAATTAGTCATTTTTATATTCAAGAGTTTATGGTCTATGTGGATTGAAAATAAAAGTTTTGTTTCCAGTTACTTAGAATCGTGATAGTTTAGGCTGTAATCACTGTTTTCCATAAGGAGTGTGTATCAACACTAGGTTTACATGAACTTAATGCTTATGTGGTAGAAAATAATTCAGAACGGCCAATGCAGTGTCTACGTATATATGTCTATGGGTAACAGCACCATGTCTACTGTATATATTACATCACCATAATCCAGGACAGAAAGAAGTATAGTTTTTTCTACTCTACATAGGAGAGCAGCTTCTATTATTGTACAGGAAGTTTCATCCGCAGCTTTTTTTTTACTAGACTGCCAACATGAACTTTAAAAGTAAAATTATCATTGAAATATTTAGCTTTGATAACAGTATATATTTTGTTTCAGTGAGTGCCTCTTGAAAAGCACTAAAACAAAGTTTTAGATTGTCAATGGTCAATTGTATAAAATCAGCCCAACAATATAAAATCGTGTGATCTGCATACAAATGAACAGTACAGTTATTTCATAATCGGACAATATCATTGATATAAATTGTGATGGTCCTATTGAACCCTGAGGGACGCCTTTTGTTACTGGTAAAAAAGCTGATTGAATGTGAATATGAAAAATGATAAGCTTTTTTATTCTGATCGACCTGTGTCAGGTTACATTCAATTCTCTTTTTTTTCAGCTGCACTGAAAGACAAAAACATAACATCTGACATATTATTTAATATGCAATATACAACAGTTTACTTTTTGTTGTGATTTGGACTAATGTGCAAGTTTTGTGAAAACAGCACATCAAAACAAAATACTACGTTTCTGGCTCAGGTTTTGCTGCTGTAGTTAGTTCCACATTTTAATGGTTCAGATCTAATTCATGTTTAGTTGAAACTGTATTTGAACAAATGATATTCATCCTCTTCAGAGTCCAGATGGCTAATCTAAGTTTTCAGTTCTCTTTCTTTATACCTCTTACTTCCCTTTCTGACCTCAAACTGAGGAAGCGAAGAACTTACTTTTATAGTACGTACTCATACAGTCAGAGAGCTGAGGTGACTTTAAAGACAATAACCATCATGAGGATAAACTCAGTGAGTCTTACTCCAAAGATGCCTTGCTTCTTGGTGAACTGTCCCGCGTTCAGTGTCCAGAAGTAGACGTGGGATTTACCACACGTGATGATGTTGGTGCTGTCGCTCGGGTTAAACTCCACAGCAAACACAGCCTCGTTGGTGCTCTAAAAACACAACAACACGCACACAGAAAATGGATGATGAACATGATAACAACAATAGAGACCTGTGAGATTAGATGGAACAGGAACAGCCTTTCTACTTGAAGCAACATCCCAGTGGACTACGTATTGAATCCAGACCAGAGAGACCAAAAGAGGGTCTCCTGCTACTGTCCAGGTCTACGTTATAATATGAAGACTGAACATTTTTACAGTGTTTATTTATTTGAAAAAAGGAGCTGAACTGGGCTGAGGAGGCGGAGTCTGTGTTGTTATTTTCACACTGTTGGTCAAAAGATCTTAAATGAGCTAGTCCTATAATCACAAATGTCCCTGAGTGACTGACTGAGTGAGTGATGGTGTTCCCACCATTGGTCAGCCAAATGTCACATGACTGAGTTGGAGTTTCCCCATTCCTCATCAAAATGATTTGTCACAAACAGTTTCTATTAGGGGAGCAGTTACACCTGCAGTGTTGCCAACTTAGCACATTTGTCACTAGATGTTAGATTATTTTTTTCAAACAAGACCAGGTATAAAGCCAGTATATGGCTGGACTGTGTATGGTGCCAACCATGGGCTACACCTCTTGTTGTGGGCAGCTGAGTTTGTATTAACATATAACGCAGTAAGACACAGACACACACACAGCTGCAAATGCATGACCATGTTTCTCTATGTCTGCTGGACGTGTAGATACATCGGTCCTGTGAACCTTTTAAGGTGATAAGTCAAACAGTGTCCTTTTTAACTTATTTTGCCCCCAAGTCCCCTTCCCCAAAAAAAAAAAAAAAAAATCAGTGACTGCAGCTTTAAGTTCAGTTGTTTTTTCACATAAATCTGAGGAGAAGTGTGTTTTTCTTCTGCCACCAGCTCAGTCCGACAGGCAGGTCTGAAGTGTACAGTATCATCATGTACAGTATGTACAGAAAGCACAGAAGCATCATCTCCACACAAAAAGCTCCATTCATGACGAGCTGTAAAGTGGACGATCCCACTGCTGTGGAGAGGGGAGGGGGGTATAATTATCTTGTTCCTGTTGGATGAACTCGTATGTTTGTACAGTGTGGGTCAGTGTTGGCCTATCCCGCTCCTGAGCTGCCACCAACCCCACCCCACCCCACCCCCCACCTCAACCCTGCACACAGGACTGTAGAAGAAACATTTTCTTGCATGAGCTCATTAAATCTTGACCTGAGATGAACAAGTTCAAACACCCACCTATGCATTCCTACTGCTGCATTACAGAACACACACACGCACACACATGCGCGCACACACACACGCACGCACGCACACACACACGCACGCACACACGCACGCACGCACGCACGCACGCACGCACACGTACACACACACACAAACACATGGCCGGATAAATTCACTGTATAAAATATTTACACTGTTGCCATGACAGCCGTGTTTAAATTGCTCTCAGTCTCAGGGAAGTTGTGGCGTTCTGGGATAAAAGCCCATAAAAGCAACACAAAAACCCCCCCCCCCCCCCCTTAATCTCTCCAAACAGACCTCCTTTATAAAAAGCATGTGCAGCCACGCTGGCCGTCTGGCTGCAGGACGAGCGATCTGTCACCGTGCTCACGCTTCAGCCCCAGGGAGGATCACGAAACTGCGATGATGTAAAACCTGCTCACATCTCTCAAAACACGTCACACAATCAGTCAGAGCTGCAGGTGACGTAAAGGAACAGTCCAACAGTTTGTCACCACGAGTCAGATCACAGCTTTGACACCATTTTAATGTCTGATTCCAGGACATCCAACATATCATCACCTCATTAAGTTGTTCTGTCAAACAGGTTAGCAAGCGTAATGACTTTTCTTCATGAACAGAGGCTCTTCAGGACTGAGGGAGCTACAGCTTGAGTCCTGTTTATTCAGCCTATATTTATTCATATTGACACATTAGCACCAGTCAAAGTAGCCGATGAGCACTGTTCACTGTTTGCAGTGAACCCACAGACGCAGAGACAGCTGTGGCTGGATTAGTCTGATACTAAAGCAAACCTGAAAACATGATGATTCTCAGGCAGCTTCTGCAGTTATGAGGAGCATCTTCTTTTTAAATGATTTCTCAGCTGATTTTACATTTATATATTTCTGTACTTCTAAATGCATTTATTTATTTATGCATTCATTTACTTATGTATTTTTACATTTATTTAACCAAGGTTTGTTCAAAAAGTCACTAGATTTGTTGCTCTGTGCTTTATGAAAAAAATGTCACTACAGAGTCTGAAAAATTGATAAATCTAGTGTCAAAGTTGCTAAGTTGGCAACACTGGAAAGGCAAAGATCCTGTCTATCACTCAAAGCTGCAGTAGCTGATCACACCGCTAGAAATAGATGTAGAAATACATAAATAAATGAATGAATAAATAAATAAATACATTTAGAAATGCAGAAATAAATAAATGTAAAAATACAGAAATAGTATTTTTATTTATTTATTTATTTTATTTTTTTTTCCCATTTATTTTTATTTATTTCAGTATTTAATTATTTATTTCAGTATTTATTTATTTATCTATTAATACTTATGTCTTTTTTCCCTTCAAATCTCTCACAGTAAAAGTGTTTAAATATCTTTATTACTACACTCATTAGGTTCATTTACACTTTTTGTTGCACTCTTGACTTGTCTGTACCTTGACCTCCGCGTGCTTGGTGCACTTGTTGCAGTCCCACACTGACAGCATGTGTTCATTAGAGTCGTCGATCACACACAGGAACACTCCAGAGTCCTGGAAACCAAGGCAACAAACAGAGACCCAAAACCACATGGTCAGTTCATTAACACAGGACCAACTCAGTCAGTACAACAGAGTCAAGCTCACCTCACGTCTTCTTTTCTAACACAACTGCACTGTTTTAATTCACATATGATCTCCTGTATATGATTCTTATACTATCAGGAGCAGCTGGGAGGTTTTCTATGTGACACACTTGAACAGGAAGTGTTTAGTTTTCACTGTCACTGAGATCCAGAAACATCATTAACAAATTATGATCAACTCACAGCGAAAGAAAACGCCACTGATCCCACCCCCCTCTGGAAGGTTCCCAGGCCGATCTGCTGCAGGGTGACCAGGGAGGTGGAGTCCCAGATATGAACACAAGGCTGCAGGGGCTGACACACACACACACACACACACACACACACACGTTATAGTTACCACTACCTGTTATCTTTAGCCAAAATTCAACAACTTATTATATATATATTTTTTTATCATTATGCCTCCATGCTGACCGTCCCATTCTCGTGATGCGATATCTCAGTAACGCCTTGATGGAACTTCTTCAAATTTGGCAAAAACATTCAAGAGGACTCAAGGATGAACTGATTCGATTTTGGTGACCAAAGGTCAAAGGTCAAGGTTACAGTGACCTAACAAAACACATTCTTGGCCATAACTCACAAATTCATTCACTAATTATGACAAAATTTAAGGATAAAATAAAGTGATGACATTTCATATCCAAAAGGTCAAAAGTCAACTTCACTGTGACATCATAATGTTCTGTAAAAACACTTCTGGCCATTACAGGCCATTCCTGTAACTCAGGAAGGAGAGACTGAGACCATATTTCCTGATACTTGACTGGTTGGCGGAGGGATACAACTCCAAGGAGGTGATTTTAGTTTTTTTTACTTCACATGAGAGTAAGTCGTTACTACAGTATCCAACTTTGATAGTGAATTGATCACACAATATATGCTTTAATGGTTTATAAGTGTACAGAAATGCAGTTTATAAAAAGTGGTATCACCTTCCCGTCTTTGTCCACCCCTGCTGTCTGACCAGATGCCACCCGCACTTTGTCAGGATGGACAGTGAGACTGCAGGAGACACAAGAAGGAGTTGTTCAGGGTAGAAATACATTTCAATATCTTCCCCAGGGGCAAATACCTTTATGTGGGATTGTATCCATCATGCAACATGACAAAAAATATTCTTACAGTCAAATACAGTGCAGTTTATTTGGACAGTTTTTTCCGCTTGTGCTGACATTGTCTCTCATCTTAAATCTGATGTTACTTACATCCAAGTGACCTTACAGTCTATGAACTATTCATCATCTTTATATCCTGTTCAAGTTTAGCTTAACAACGTTTTTTTCTATTTAAAGCTGCAGAAATGTATCTTTTCTGGCCACTGTGGAATAATCTGTGAACACAACATCTGACTGATTATCATTTTATGATTACACACATGTGAGCAACTAGTTGCCTATTTACACATCCCACAGAGACACAGGGCAACACCAGCATTTTAAGTCATGTTTGCATCCACCTGATGAATCTAAGTCCAGTGTTCCCTCTCTTTTAACTCTGTGTTTGGTCTCCTCCAGCTCCTGAGAAATATCTAAACACTTCACCAAGTTCACTAGCTGCTCTCTGACTGAGTCTGTCTGCTGTTTGCTGCTCAGCAGGTTGATTACAGCTGTGAGCTGTGCAACAAAAACAATGAGCTAATCCCGCTAACCCTCACCCCCCAATGCTTTTGTTTTTATGCCTCTGTGCTATTGTTTTTGGGTTGTCCGTCCATCCGTCCCATTCTTGTGGACATATCTCAGTAACACCTTGACAAACTTCTTCAAATTTGGTACAAACATTCACCTGGACTCAAAGATGAACTGAATAGATTTTGGTGGCTTAAAGTCTAAGGTCAAAGGTCAAGGTCACGGTGACCTCACAAAACATGGTTTTGGCTTTGTGAAAGCAATGAACATGAACTCCTGAAGGGAATCCCTTTAGGTTTGGCACAAACATTCACTTGGACTCAAGGATGAAATGATTAGGCTTTGGTGGTCAAAGGTCAAAGGTCAAATCACTTTTTAGCCATGACTCAAGACTTCACACAACAACTATGACAAAATTTCACACAAATGGTTCATATTTTATGTGACTCTGGATAAACAGGGATGTAATCTAACCCTACACACACACACACACACCCACCCCATCTGTTGCTCAGACTGTATGAAAATGAAGCAGATGATATAAACTGTCTGGTACTGACCAGCGGACGCAGTCTGTGTGTTTGCGGTAGTGGCGCTGTGTTCGGTTGTTGATGTGGTAAAGCACAATGACACAGGCGATGAAGTACACCGCCTCGCCCGTAGGAAGGAAGTACAGGTTGGCCCGGCAGTCCCGTCCCCGGTAACCGTAGCTGACATCACAGAGTCAAGGTGACGTTCACTTCAATCACTGGTCCAGTTCAGTCATTAAAGGAACAGTTCAATCAAAACTGTGTCATTATTTTACCATTAGAAATGAACAGAGGACAATCCACTAATGTGAACCATGAACCACAAATATCTCACTAACACAAACATCAGCAACTAAACTCGACTGAACGTTTGTACATCTTTAGTTAATTGTATGCTATCAATTGTTTTGTCTGTTTATTTGCTTGTTGTCTCTTAGACAAGGTCGCTAGGCGACAGGAGCTGGACTTGGCAACACAAGGGTGGGCACAGCTGGTGAGTCTCATTTCAGTTCGGCCTTCGTGGTCTACGGTGGCGACGAAGAGTTGCACCTTAGTAGACCGTGTCCACACAGCTATAGTTTTTTACTCTACTGTCATATCTGTAGTGTGTTGTGGTTTCATGATAATGAAAACTGACTATCTTAATTACAGTGCACAATTGAACATATGATTTGTGGCTCACTTCCTGTTAGTTTGTTGGCGACGTGACATTTGTGACTTCCCTCTTATTTGCTTGCAGATTTTTGTCTAATTCGCTAATTCACTAATTCGACTTCAGGAAGAGGGAACAGGAGGTTTTGGACTCCTGCAGAACTCTCTGGAGAAAAACAAATGCATAAATATCACTTTACATATTTTCATGGTGAAATTTATCTTTGTAAGAACTTGTTTGTGGAAAGTGAGATAATGTGGTTCATGGTTCACATTTGTCTTCTGTGGTTTACAGATGACAAAGGCCAATAAAAACGTCCATAAATAAATGAATGATGTTATTTTAGACTTGTGACCCACGACCTCACAGCTCAGTCCATGGATGACTCTGCTCTCACAGACTCTGGAGGACCACAGTGATATTTATCAGGGACACATCGTGTGGCCAGAGTCCAGGAGGTGAGCGCACAGTGAAGTCAGTAACATTAGCCGCAGAAAGACGAACAAGAGGCTGAGCGCTGCTGTGGAAGGATACACCCAGTCCAGCTCCAGCCTCTCTGAGGGCGGCTCCATCTTCAGGTCTTCATAGTTCTGGATGTTGGAGGGGATGTACATGGTGATGGGCCGGCCTCGGATGAACATCTTGATTGACTGTCCTGGAGGACAAACAGAGAGGAGGCGTAATGTAGCAGCAAACACACCAACTGTTGATTTTCCCGTCATGTATTTTACATTTTCCTTTACTTCCCTGCAGAGACGTCCTTTACGTGAAAGACATCAGAGACAGGTCTTTATGTCTATATTCCCTTTTTAATGACTCTATCTTACATCTGCTCCTTTTAACTTGCTGTTGGTACAAACTCAACATGTCTCAGTGACCTCTGTTCTTCACCACAGCTTTAAATCCATCAGCAAAACAGAGTCTCATCACTTTCTCTTTAAAACATTCACTAATTATTTCCAGTTGCCTCCACTTCTCTGTTTTGCAATCACTGTGAAACTCCCTACTTCCTGCACAGATGTTTCACATTAAAAGCCTTCCTCAAGTGGCTCAAGAGGCATAACGCCTCCCTGTTCTGGTAGGCTTTTACTTTAAAAGGAAAGTAGTCAATAAAGACAGTATTTTGAGCAGGGTGTTGAGTATGACATGAGTCTGTTGTTGCACTGATGGAATTAGTGCAGTAGAAACTGATATTATGCTGAATTTATCTATCTCTATGAATTTATCTTTGTGTTGATTCCTAAAATGCCAATAAAATATTTTTACAATATAGCATCCACCCCCTAAAATCTTTTTATTATCTCACCTTGGCCACCAGGCTTGGGCGAGATCCAAAACATAATGTGTAATTAATGTGTGATGTTGATGCAGTTAAGCCCAAATACAGACATCTGATATTATCGCGATGCTGCCACTAAACAGCAGGAGCAAAGTTTGATGTATCACATGTCAAGGTTCAATGTACAGACAGCAAATCAGTGAAATGAGGGTCAGATTCAGCAGCAGGGCAGACTGTAAAAAACTGCAACCTAAGACTTTAACAGTTCATCCACCAACTCAGATGTTATTTTAATACTGGCATTATATTTGAGAATTAGCGTTAGCCATGTCTGCTACATACACTAGAACATTTTCTTAAGATTCACCTGAATAACACTTTAAACTAACTTTAAGAGCATTTACAGTTCTCTGACTTCAACTTGGCCTGTGATGTATTCAGAAGGATGAAACTGTGAGCCTCCTTACTTGTGTTCACTGGAATTTTTTTTTATTTTTTTAGTAAAAATCTAGTTAACCTATTGGTGGCGCTAAAGGAAAAGTCAGTAGATCACCAAACTCGTTGAGATTCAGACTCTGTGGAGAATTAATGTCTGCACTGAATTTTATGGCCTTTTATCCAACAGCTGTTGAGATACTGTGATTCAGGACCAAAGTAATGAACCAACTCCACCTGGCTAAAAACAATATTTATTTGATAGAGACAGTAGATGTCATCATAGCGTCTATAAAATATCTAATGCTGCATACGGGGTTGACCTTTCTCACTTTAAAAAATGTGATCATAACTTTTAAACCATTTCCTCAGCAGGAGAGAGCAACATTTCCATCCCACTGGGATTGTTTTCTGTCCATCTGATGAGTCTAATATTCAGTCTCAGTGTGGTTTACACTGGGCAGCTGCCAAGAGACAACAGCAGACGACTGTGTGTGACGGGATACTGCTGGAAAAGTACAGCCTGCTCTCTGCAGAAGAAGAGCTAAAGATGCAGAATGACAGAACAGTGGCTCTACCTTGGCTGTAGGTTCCTCTTCTGGACCCCGGGGATCCTGTGTGAGAACAAAGCCAACTTTAGTCAGACAAATAAACAGCAGGATCCTCTGAGCATTAAATCACAGCTGATTCCAGCTGATTTATGAGTTTTGGATTTCAAGATGGATTATGTTTTCCTTTTCCTTTTCCATCTCTTCTTCTATTTCCTCTGACCTGAGTCTGTTACCTCGGTAACTTGTTTTATGAGACTGGAGGCTGAAGCCAAGCAGAGTGAAATAATGAAAGCTTAAGGTCATGATCTCTAACTGTTTGTCTGACCATGACATGGTTGTAAAAGGCCGGAGAGACTAGACTGTCCCATTTCAAAGGCTCCTTCAAATGTGTCCTTCTTTTCCTGGACAGCGAATGCTCCAACAGGTGGATCCTTCATGGTCCAAAACTATCCCAAGATTCATTGCACCAGTAATGAAAATCATATGGTAGTAAACAACACTGACAGAGAACCTGAAGATTACACTGTTAAATGTAAGCATTGGGTTTCAGCTCATTTCAACAGCTAACGGCACAAATGTTAAAACCACAGGCCTTAAAAGATTTTATTTAAAAAAAAAAGTTAGGTGTCGGTTGCTAGGTGACAGGAGCTGTGCTTTACGACACGACAGTAAGGGCACAGCTGGTGACACAACGTGAAAATCCTCTGTAGACCAGACCGTCTCATTTCAGTTCGGCCTTCAGTCTACAATGTAGACCACATCCTCCGAAGGATGCAACCCCTGAATTGGAACACAGCTCAAGATCCTCAGACAAGCCACAACACCGGTCATGTGACAGTGAGGAAACAGGAAGAAAAATATATTCCTGCTTTCACTGTTGTTGGACCTGCCAATTTAGTCTTATCCAGACAGAGGACAATCATAAAACTGTTCATCGCAGTTCATATGAGAGTAATGACATGAGTCCCTGGTTTCCAGGTGAAAATAAAAAAGCAATACCAGTTAAATTCATTCTACTAGTTTCACTGATGTCGACACTGCACCTGAGTTTCAGTACTCAGAACAACACTTTCTCTGTGCTCTGATGAAAAACAAAACTTTCAAACACCACTTTCATTCAGAGCAGAGCTCTGAAATATTAAATTACTTCTGAAGTCAAAGTGAAATTTGCATTCTTCATCACTAAAAGTGTCTTTGGACACATCAGTGGAAACAGCATCTCAGCCTGTAGGTGGGCGACTGATCAGGTTGCCACCTTTTATGTGAAAAAATAAGGGAGCCTATCAATGCTGATGCAAGTTGGTTTTCATCCGTCTGTTTATCATCCAGGATTAGTGTGTTCTATTTGGTAAGTTAGCCTAGCTTGCTAATGTTAGCAGCGATTCCCACCACCATGCACGTTACTTCAACCCCTGCAGGCAGCTCCTGCACACTCAGTCCACATTATGGAGAGGAGGGGAGCCAGCTAGCGTTAGCATTTCCCTTTAACAGGTCCAGATGGTGACGACCAGACTCACAGCAACTGGTAGTTCTGTGAGCTCACACCATGATTCCAATCTGTCAGGGTTAGTTTATTTAGTAGTAGTGTTTTTAGTGCCTGTCTCTGTATTACAGCTGTGACAACATCATTGGCACCAAAAATTCTAAAGGAGAGCACCAGTACAGGGGAACTGTCACTGCTTAAAGGTACATCTAATATAAACACTAGTCACTACAAAAGTTAGTAAAAAAATGAGCACAATATGGTCTAAAATTGGCAGAATTATGATCTAAATCAATTGTCTGACCAGGCAGTCACTGTCAGGTTTCAGAGACAGTTTTCAATACTTTATGCTAATTAGAAATATTTAAATTTGTCCTATCACTGTCCTCTTATTACTTCCTGTGAAGGAATCTAAAACAACTCGTGCAAGGCACAATTATCAGCAGAGTTATTAAGTGGAATGAGAGGCAGAGTGGAAGAGAGCGGGAAAAATGTTTTTCTGGCACTCTCCTCTGCAAAGCTGGCCATCCATCATCCCGTCGAGTGAGCTGGAGTGGAGCGGCGGCTCAGCCGACCACAGCGAAGGGAATTCCAGGCAGCACAGGCTCAGTAGTGTTTGGCTTCACGAGAGCTCACATTAAAAAAAAAGTGACAGCGAGTTGAAGCACGAGGGAAAAGGTCCTGTTGAGTGATGTTTGTGGTGTTCAAAGGGGACGTTCAGCTGTAAAGATGGCCACTCAGTGAAATGGTAGAGAGGCCGTTTGATGTCAGCAGGGACCTGCAGAGAGTTTGAAATGTTTGGGCTCCCCACACCTTCCTGTCAACACTTATTAGCTCCCACTAACATTTATGTTATCACTGTATTTGAGCACCATTCACACAGTTAAAAACAGAGATACTAAAGTTTTCATTCACTTCATAATAAGATTAAACAGTTTAAAGTTGATGCCTAAAAATAAACCATGAGCACTAATTTAAAATGACTTTTGAACCAACACCTTCTTAATAAAAGCACACCCTGACACGCTTCCAACCAACAACAACTGATCTTATCGGAGTGATGTGAAGATCAGTGGTAGAGCTGCTTTCTCTTCATCTTCCTCCAGCTCTCTGCCCTGCAGGACAGGGTACAAACAGACTGAAAGCCAACGCTCATAAGAGCTACGCTAACCACAAGTGTGGTTGGTTGGGAAATACACTCATTTCTGCACAAATGAGTCCATGTGTGAAACAGTGAGGAGCTGCCTGGGCAGACATACGGTTCAACTCGGGCCTCGCCAGCACTGCAGTCAGGGAAACGTGGGAAAAGTCCCTGACTCAAACCCAGAGACATGTGATCATGATCCCTGATAACTTTTCAAAACCCCAGAAGCCACAGAGCAAGTCTCTATTTGTTCCGCTCTGGATTACGCTCCCAACTTCGTCATTAACTGCTGTGCTGTTTTTGCACACGAAGTAAAAAGGTCACCTGCCAATCACAAGGCCTGGTTTTCGTGCAAACACCTGTCCTGTCCTGTGACGTCTGACTGTCTGCAGGCAGCACGCCGAGGAAACACTGCCAACAACCATTTGAGCATCAGTGTGATTCATAGAGTCTGTGCCAATGCAACAGTATTATTATAGATGTGGTAACCCTAATCCTCTTAAGGATGCAAGACTTCAGTCTTTAAATGATTTTTATAGTATCTAACTCTCTGACTGTCAGTGGTTTGGTGGAGCAACAGGTGCAGATTCACCCAGTTTAGCTTGTGTCAGCCTGGACTCTGCTGCAGTTAGCTTCTCCTTCTCCTTCCAGTCACCAATAATCAAATACTTTACAGCACATGGATCATCATGATGTGTAATTAGGACCACCCCACTGGACTTGATACTAGCATAGCCAAGCCTTGAGAAAGATGACCCTCTGTCAACCTTTAAAAACAGAGAGTAATCTCAAATAAGCTGTCAAACTGCTGGCTTAATTTGTGAACAGCACATTTATACTGCTTAACTTGCAATCGTCATTAGAAATAACGACAAAATTGCTGCAACGATAAATGTGCAGAGTTGTGCAATTTCGTCCCAGAGTATCATAAACCTCTCAGTAGTGTTTACATGTCTAATGAACCTTCAAATGCACTCATCTTTAACTCAAACTGGATTTCTAGGAGGATGGCATTTCATTGTCTCACTAGTCTCTGAGTTCTCCATCAGGCTGGTGTGGAAAGACTCACTGCTTTACAAGTTATGCCTCGTCTTCAAGAATGGAGAATGTGGGCATCGATCCCACTACTTCTCGCATGCTAAGCGAGCGCTCTACCATTTGAGCTAATTCCCCTGTGAACAATGGCATGTCATTGTTTTTTCCAGCTTATTGCCAAGTACGTGTGACAGTGTATCAATGAGGAAGAGAGATTTGGGACAGAAACTGATCTTGTTGACATGGCAGACTAAAGTAAACTGCACTTCGACGAGGATGGGATTCGAACCCACGCGTGCAGAGCACAATGGATTAGCAGTCCATCGCCTTAACCACTCGGCCACCTCGTCCTCTCGTAAGCACTTTTCAAAGGAAAAAGGTGGTCTGGGTAGTAAACCCAGGAGTGTTTCCAGGTCAGCTCCTAAGATTTTCACGTAAGTACAGGACCATACAGGAGCTAAATTTCACCCTCACACCTGGAAAGTCTGGTAAAGTGAATGAATAGTAATGGAAGTTTAGGAAGAACTTTGCCATTTACAGCAATTTATGTGTGAGCGTGTGCTTTCTTTTCCACACCTCGTAGCTGACCTTTTTGCTCTACCCGTGCTTTCCACGTGTTGTTGTAATTGTTCACTGTACCTGCCTCCTTCCTCTCTTTGAGTTTGATGTCAGACTAGAAGGCTTGTACGGTTATTACACTGCCCTCTTCAATTCCGGAAGAACCACATCTCTAGTACCTACAACATCTTCGGTACTTATGGTACTGTGGAAGAAGTACCATGACATTTTCAGAATTTTGGCATCCACTTGATCCCAAAGTATCGGTTCTCATGAAATCCCTACTTTGATGAGCATTCAGTGGGGAAATAACTCAAAAGGTAGAGCATTCTCCAGAAGACTTCAGGTCCTTCCTCTTTTCTGATGTTGATGACAGGAGATAATGTGTGAAGAACACAATATTTATCCCTGCTGTCACATCAATGATGAATACAAATCAAAAAGACCTTTTTTCCAACCTGAAAATTTTAGAGTAATCTCAAGCAAGTGGTCAAACAACTGGCTTGACTTCAGGCACATTTGTTTTGGAGAACCAAATGTAAGTGAACAGAATATTCATGACATTTAACTATCAATTGTCATCGGAAAAGACTAAATAATTGCTGCAATGTTAAATTTCGCCAGTTGTATGATTTGGGAAGAGAGCGTCGAGTGGTTAATGGCGATGGACTGCTAATCCATTGTGCTCTGCACGCGTGGGTTTCGAATCCCATCCTCGTCGAAGTGCGCAGTTTTCTTTAGTCTGCCATGTCAACAAAGATCAGTTTCTGTCCCAAATTCTCTCTCCTCTATTGATACACTCTGTCACACGTACTTGGAAGTAAGCTGGCAAAAACAATGAAC